CTATAAAATGGAATTCATAGAAATAAAGCTACTTTTGATATAAGGTGACAGATAATAGTTGTTCACACACATTTACACAGAGAGATAACAAGCTGAATAAAAAAGATGTAAAATTATTTCAATAATGTCTCTCAAAATAAGTCTGGAATACTATTACATCGATATAAAAACTATTAAAAGCAACTATAAATTATTTTTATAATTAAATGTGGTTCATTTTTTATGCTAACGAAAAATAACAGGAATCAGTTTTTTAGAGAAGTAAACTTAATTTGAGTGAAACACTTAAAATTTGGTTATGAGAGGTGTGGAAATTGGTCATAACTGCTCCAGAATGAATATTTTGATAAAATAAACTTTTTAAACTTTCGCATAGGGAGAGAGTGTGAAAGAGATGGACTCCATATACCTTTTATTGATACAAAATAATCTTCAATTGTACCTCATTATGATCTCTTTACAGAGAATAATGCAGCAGCAGTTCATTAAGAAAGGCCAACTAATGCTCGTTATTCTTCATCTTTAACAACAAATTCCTTTTCTGTTTTTACCTTTTTAGCAATCTAACCTGGACTTAGCAATATGGTTTGGAGAATGTTTCTTGAGACAGAGAGAGAAATAAATATGTGTGAATTTCTCAAGATATCTTTCTAATAATTTTATAAAGAGATAGGGGTTCCATTTTAAGAAGTGCAATATTTCATGCAATAAGCAAGCAATATTTAAGATGTACACCTACAGTGCATGCCTCTCCAAAAATTTTATATTTTAGAAAGTATATGGTATGATAATTCATACTTTCTTTTTCTATTTCTTTATTGAGGATACAAAAAGGGTAGCCTCCCTCTAAAATTTAGTATTTCTTTTGGCATTTTTCCTATGTCTCGAAACCAATTTTTTTTTAATGAAGTGTTTCTCTCTAGATATATTAATTGTCTATTAATAACAACCATAAAATTCTCTCTAAAAGTTTTCTATCTTCTAAAAATCTCTTACTCCCTAATTGTCTCTCTATATATCTCTCATCCACATCTCTCTCTAAAGAGGTTACATATCTCTCTTGCTCTATCTTGTGTTTTTGAGAAGATCTCTCTTCCTATATCTCTAAACCAATACTTTTACAAAGTCTCTCTCTAGAGATATTAATAGGAAACATTAAAAAAAACAGCCTTTTAATAGCAGCCATAAAATTTCCTATAAAAATCTCTTTCTCCTTAATTTTCTCTCTATATATCTCTCTCTCATCTCTCTTTCGTCCATGTCTCTCTCTTACTATCTCTCCCGCTAAAGATGATGTAATTTGTTCTACACTCTTTAAAAGATTCGAGGTCCTTTCTTATTCTCGCAACACAGGTCCACCCTTTAACTCTGGCTTAATAATGCCGTAGAGATATAGATATGCATTAGTGTACATTACTATCTCTCTCTATTTATTTTAAGGAAAATGACCTATATCCTCCTCCCTGTAATTTCCTTCTATATTAGACTTTCAGGTTTACCTCTCAAGTTTAAAGCTTTGGGATGGTTAGTTCCCCTATTAGAAATTTTTTTGTTCTTTTTACGAATTTAATATTTTCATTTTACAAAAGAGTAATGATCGTATAGGGCCCTTCCCCACCCATGTGTATAGAACTCTAAATGATCATCATTAAAATTGCCACATATCTCTATAAAAGTTATCACATGGGTGTAGGACTTGACTTTTCTATAGATCTATGTCAAATTTAATGGTGATCTTTTGAGGTCCTACACACATGGGTGAGGGAGATCATTTCTCTTTACAAAATGTCAAACTCATCCATTAGTCAAATCCTTTCTCTTTCTCGTGCCCAAAACCAATCTGACCTCCATGGACGCTATTCTACACT